GAGCAGCAGCTGGGGAACAAGCCTGCGGGTCCTCCCATAGCAAACTGCTTACTATGGGAGCAGGAGGGGGGGGGGGGCAAGAGCACAGCGGAGGACACAAGAAGGAGGATCAGGGCTGCTCTGTGCTAAACTACTGCACAAAGCAGGTACATTAAGTATGACATGTTTGTTATTAAAAAAAAAAAAAAAATTTGCCTTTTTAATATCACTTTAATGCTGTGGTAGTTAATGCTACATATAGTGGGTTCTGTGATCTTCCATGTTCTGTGTGAGCAATATTCTGAACATGGAGGTTCGCTCACTCGACAGCGTCATCATTCATTTTTTATTTTTTTTTTTCCCATGAAGGCATTCTCTGATTATACAAAGTGGAAAGGAGGGGTGGTGACATCAAGATCTCAGTTTTGTCCAGTGACTGTAGTTCTGCTTGAACAGTTGAGAGCTGTGAGATTGATAGATAAATATAGAAGAAATTGGACAGTTGCCCCTGGAATACCAAATTTCATTCCTACAGTCTCTCTCCAGTACCAAATAGATAACAGTTGGATTCAGGTCACTCATGTTGGGACCCTTCCTTTTTAACATATTTATAAGTGATATAGGGCAGGGGTCGCCAAACTTTCTAAGCATAGGGCCAGTTTACTGTCCTTCAGGCTTTAAATGGCCTGAAATGTGGCCAGTGAGAGTAGAAAATACCCCGTCAACCGTGCCCCATCATTTGGATTTCTTGGGAGTAATTGTGCCCTATTGTTGATATCAATGAGAAGAATAGTGCCCCATTGATGGTGTCAGTAGGGGGCATGGTGCTCCATCATTGGTGTCAGCTGGTGGAGATAAAGGTTGAGACAAATATTTCCAGTCTAGCTGTGTGTTATATACTGGACTTGTGTGTAAGCAATTGACAAACCCACCCGCTATGCAAACAAAAAGGAGAGCAGTGGTCTGGTTTGTCCAAATAGCCACATTCCTTTATTTAAGGTAATCAGACCTTGTCCTTGTATAGCGCTTTAACCAAGGCTTGGAGGCATTCTTCAACATTTTTGAGGCCAACATTAATAAGGAAGTATGTAATCTATAATATACAATCTCCCCATCAGAGCTGTGCAATAGACTCCTACTTGTTCTGGCCAGCTCAGTAGATTGTTTTAATTATTTGTACAACATTCAGCCTGTTCTGGGTCATGAGCACCGTTTGCTAACCCCGATGTCACTGGCTACAGTGGGATTTTGTCAGCCGGTCCTGGCAAATGATTTATGGCTGACACCTGTTGATCGTCTGTAGCCAATCACAGCACAGATTGTACACAGATTGGTGATCTGGCTGTTTCTTCTCCCTGAAAAGTAGGGAGAAAAAATAGCCAGATCTGTAGGTAAAAGCAGCACATATTACTCACATTGCACTTGTTAGGCACACTATGATTTCCCCTTAATGTTAGCTCCTAGCCAGCCAGTGCCATTAGTACAGTGTACAGTATTCGCACTGATCACTATTGACTTCAGTGTACTTCCCAGCCAGCTTCAGCTAGTGCCAGATTGACAGCCACTCTATCACCATCCCATTGTATCACTGATCACCGCCATTACTAGTATAGCATCATAGCTGTGTAAATTCCAGTATATATACCACCGTTTGCAGATGCTATAACTTTTTCACAAAACAATTTAATATACACTTATTGGGAGTTTTTTTTTTTTTTTTTGCCAAAGACATGTAGCAGAATACATTATGGCCAAAGTTTATGAAGAAATTAGATTTTTTTTTTTTTTTTTTTTTAATTTTCAGTCTTTTTTCTTTTTAAATAGTAAAATATAAAAATCCCAGTGGTAATCAAATACCATCAAAAGAGCTTTTTGTGTGAATAAATGATCCACAATGCTGAACAGCAAAAAAGGCTCTCCTCATGAAGGGGGTTAAATATTCTAGAGGTCAAATAGTAAAGAATAATACTAGATGCATAACTAAATGCACAAAATATAATTGGATATTAACATATATACCGTATTTTTCGCTCCATAAGACGTACTTTTTTCCCCCCAAAAAGGGGGGAAAATGTCAGTGCGTCTTATGGAGCGAATATAAAGCGGCCGGTCTGGTATTTCCGCCGCCACCCATGTCAGAATACCGGGCCGGCCGCTCAGCTGTTCTCTGCGGCAGGAACTCACCTGTTCCTCGGTCCAGCACTGTAGTCTTCCAGCGCCGGCTTCTTCCCGCCCCAGCATCTGTGACAGCCGGGTGCCCGCTGCGCATGCGCGAGAAGCGCTGCGCTTTGTGAATGGTCCGGTGTCTTCTGGGACACATGACAGGTCCCAAAAGACGCCGGGCCATTCACAAAGTGCAGCGTTTCTCGCACATGCGCAGTGCGCACCCGGCTGTCAAAGTCGGGTGCCCACAGTATAGGCAGGAGAACTCCATGGAAGTGGGAGCGGGTACCTGTCAAATTCAGGTACCCGCTCCCCCTCCCTCCCTAAAGGTCTGCAGTGTCTGGTCATGCCCTGTACTGTCTGGTCATGCCCTGTACTGTCTGGTCATGCCCTGTACTGTCTGGTCATGCCCTGTACTGTCTGCAGTCTCTGGTCATGCCCTGTACTGTTTGCAGTGTCTGGTCGCTTCCTGTACTATGTCTGCAGTCCATTGGTTCAGAATATTTTTTTTTTCTTGTTTTTCTCCTCTAAAACCTAGGCGCGTCTTATGGTCAGGTGCGTCTTATGGAGCGCAAAATACGGTAGGTAATATCAAAAGGGGGTAGTTGGTCCAGGGAATATCCAGTTGCCCCCTGGGGGATCAGGAAGGATTCCTGAACTGGATCATACTTTATTGGGGTTTTTTGCCTTCCTCTGGATCAACTGTGTGTATTAGAATTGTGTATATGGAAATTTTATGTGTTTTTGTTTGTTTTTTTTATGGGGAGGGGGGGTTTGTTTTTTGTTTTTCAGTTGGTTTGAATTGATGGGCTTGTCTTTTTTTCAACCTGACTAATGATGGTTGTGTTTTTTTTTTTAATTATTATAGAAATCCATGTATGTGTGTTGACATCCTAAATAAAGGGTATCAACAGATTGATATCCAGTGACATATTAGCACAAACACTGTACTTATTTTATCTGTCAGTGGGAGTGAATTACTTCTCCAGTTTAGATGGATATGTGGTGTTTTGGCATCACATGGCAGTGTAGCAGATGTTTCAAGGCCTTGTGCCAGGGACATAATAAATATATGTAACTATGTTGTTAGTGACAGAATGTGAAGTGTCCCTGTGGTATAGAGAAGCTGCCAATGAGAACAAGGGCTCATGAGTTTATAACAGAATGAAGTTTGTACCTACATTTTGTAAAGCGCTGCGCAAACTGTTGGGGCTATGTAAATCCTGTATAATATTAATAAAAGCTATTCCTTCTAATTTCTTTTTTTTTTTCTTCAAACATCTCAGACTCTGTGTATGGAAAATTTGATTTGTGAAAAAAAAACGCTTTCATTAATGCCAACATAGAATAAACTCCCATCTGGATAGTTTAGAAGCCTATTGTAATCAGTATGATACCTGTGCTGGTTTCTTTCATGTACCTGTACATGGTAAAGCAGATTTTCCATATGGTTTTTTTTTTATGATTTTAGAGTCAGCACAGTGGCTAAATGGTAAGCACTTCTGCCTGGCAGTACTAGGGTCGTTGGTTGGAATCCCAACCACGGCACCACCTGCTTGGAGTTTGCATGTTCTCCCTGTACCTGCGTGGGCTTCCTCCAGGGTACTCTGGTTTCCCCCCTTTTGTCTCGAAAGAAATGCTGGTAGGTTAATTGGATCCTGTCTAAATTGGCCCTAGTAGATGTATGTATGAGTATAATTTGGGGACCTTAGATTGTACGCCCCTTGAGGGTTAGGGACTGATGCGAATGTACAGTGCGTGTGTGTGTGTGTGTGTGTGTGTGTATATGTAAAGCGCTGCATAAATTGACGGCACTATGTATGAGTACCTGAAATAAATAATTATGTTAAAATGATGTTCCAAGAGCCAGGTCTGGACAAATCTTTAAAAGGGTCAGGACCAAGGGCCCACACATAGGACTCACTGATGCCATATTTTAAATTTTTTTTTTTTTTTCTTTCAAGCTGCGCCTGTGGATTTTTAGAAATGTCTAATTTCTCAAACTCTGTGCCCCACTACTTTTTTTTTTTTTCCTAGCATATCCTCTTCTGAAGCTCTGCGTGACATATTCTATATCTCTTTTTCACTGACCAGTGTTCTATTTTACTTATGGAGTGCAGTGCTGCTGTGTAGGCTTCCTGTTGTTTAGATGAGTGTTTCTCAACCTTTTTTCAGTTCTAAAATGTGAAAAACTATTTTTACATATTTCAGCAACATCCACACATATAGGACACCCAAGGATAGAGGGGATTTATTCTTCCAAAGCAAATATTCTCTTGCACACTGGTACTGACTAGTATTCCAGTGTTTCTCTTCTTACTCAGTCCCCCCCTCCCTCACTCAGCTAATGTGACCCCAGTGCTGACAGAGGGGGCCAGGGGGAGGGCAAACAAGGATGCTGTGTAGGCGCCCAACATCCTCCTTATAAATCAATTACATTACATCACTTTTTGTTAGAATGCCAATGGCTAGAATGTTGTTATGGAGCAAAATGAAAACCTGTGGCTTTGTGTAACTAAAAGGCAGGCTTGATCCACCTTTTGGCATGTATACACTTTTTTGGGCATTTTTTTTAGGCATTTTGCCAAGGTGCCCCTGAAGACACCTAAAGGTACTCCAGGTGCCTGGGCACCTTGGTTGAGAGAGGCTGGTTTAGATAGCATTAACACAATACTAATGCATTCTGTTAAGGCATGTAGCAATTAGAAGACTGCCAAAATGCAGGCTAAAGCATACTTTGCATGGGAAAACTGTCTTTGGCTCTAGTAAACCTAACCGCCATGGTGTTTGGCTATCTTTCAGACTTAATCATGGTCCTATGTGCCTGTTTACATCCTAAGATGGATTTTTGTGTTTAGTTGCAGGTCCAGTATTGCCGCCTGGTTACAAGTACAACCACAGTTCAGACTCATCCGAGGACAGTGATGAAGAGACTTCATCCAGCCACAGGCACCACAAGAGACGATCTACTGGAAAGGACAGAAACGATTCCACAAACAGGTCAGCTCAAAGAATCACCGACTTCTGAATTAGAGGAAACTTTGTGTTTGATATATACAGGACACATTGCCCATATCTGTCTATTAGGGGTAATAGGGTGTTTACTGATATATATTTTTATAGCTGAACATGGCTCTCTGTCCTTTAAAGACAGTAGCATGCAGCACACACACATTTTGTTTGTTTATTATCTCTTTGTATACCCCAAAGTCACCTTTCAGAAATATTTTGTATGGGCACTCTACAAACAGATACTTACAAATAATTGCAGTTTGTAGGCTTTTTATTCTTTGCATACCTTATTTTTCTTTTCCTCCCTGTTATTCTCATAGTGGCCATTATAACTGAGGAGACATGAATCCATCTCCCTTTATGTCTTGGATCTCTTTGTCTGCCTCCTGGAACATGTGACACTTCACATTGTCTGAGGGGGAAGGAGCTGGTGATGTAGCCTTCTCGAGATGCACCTGTGTGGCCTTGGTTACATCACCAGTGTCCCCAATCAACAAGTGATTGGAAAAACAGTAACTGAAACTAAAAGCAAAATATGTTTACCTAATGTTAAAGAAACTTTACATTAGAGCCAAAAAATGGTTTGCTTAAGAAAGCTGCATTCAGCAAGGAATGATGACAAACATGCTGAAATAAAAGATTTTGGGTCTCGCACTTTGAATTCAGGATTAAAATTACAGTCTTTAGTACAAAAAAAAAAAAAATCACACATAACATCAGTATATGATTTTGTCTGCAATGAATTTCACAGGGCATATCCCTGCTTCAACTCCTTCATAAAAAGTGTGTTAACGCTGCATACTTAATCCAAATATAAAAACAAGTGCCAGTATATTTAATTCAAATGTCTGTTATACAGGTAGCGAATGTCATGCTGATCACAGACCCTTTGTGTTAGCAGTCACTTAAGAGGACTTTTATTGTGTTTTTTTTTTTTTGTTTTTTTCTTTTTTTTTTCCAGAAAAATTGGAAAGGCTTCAGATGATGATGATGATGATGATGAATTTTTTTGGTCCTGCTCTCCCTCCCGGCTTTAGGAAACAATCTGAATCCCCTGATAGGTATACTACGTTTTCTCCCAAAAAAAATAATTTTGCAGAATTCTAAATTTCAGTATTGCAAAATCATCTGCACAAAGTAATTGTAAGTTGAAATAGCTTCATTCATAAAGCTCTTTATTGAAGTGCAAGCAGGCAGCAACAGGATAAAGTACAAAATCCTCCTTATCAAAAGGCGACGTTTCGAGCATCAACCTAGCTCTTTTTCAAGCATGGAGTTCCAAGCCTTGGTGGTACCTCAAAATGTCACATTTTGATATGGATCATTTTATGTTTTAACCTATTGCTGCCTGATTGCCCTTCAGTTAGGAGCTATATTGACTGAGCGACTCTACTTTCGAATAGACCTTTGTATATTCGATTTTTGCAGTATTGGAATATTAAGATGCCAGATTTATGCCATTAGGCTGTTCTTTATACACATGGGATTGGATACATGATGGGATCGAAGTCTACTTCCCTGCAAGAATTACAAATGCTCTGTCCTAGTAGTGAAAAATAAATACTGTCCCCGCTACTCCCAAATAATGTTAGACAGTTAGTGTACCTTCACATCCTTCTCTTGTAACGATGTGTAGTAATTACTATCGTCTTGTCAGTCTAAATCCTGGATCTAGTACAGTGCGTTCTATGTCAACTCAGGAATTTGCTTTTGTGTGTCAGAGTAGGGACTTCTCTTGAGACAGTTACACAAAATAATCAAGCTGTAGGTGTTGATCATGAATGCAATGCAGATATGGTGACCGTTTTGTGCTTCTATTTAAGAATATATTCACAATTGACTTGTCTCACAATGTTTGAAGGCGATGGTTGTCTGAGGTTAGGTCTGATTTTAAAGCTCAACCCCATGCAAAGCTTGTTTTTTTTTTTTTAGTTTTGGTTAGAGTTGGGAAGAAATCCTGTTTGTGGTCTGTCTCCTTTAGGGACAGGATAATAGCTAATGTTACTTACTGTCCCTCATGTAAGACGAACATGTAACTTTTTCCCATGTGTTGGCACAGGTGTAGGTTTGAGCAGAGCAATGAGTTAAGTTATGTGTTCCCACTCGCCTGTCCCCAAATGAGAAAGTTGTGAAAACTGGACTTTTGTTACTCACCATAAGGAATATCTCTTCCTCTGAGTTCATTGACTGACATAGGCTCTCTTCTTAATCTTGACGAAACGGTTTTATAGTGCTGCCTACAGAAGTAGGACACTAGTCAGAAAAGAACTCTGCACCTCCTATGGGCCGTCTTTCTGGTATTGGTTCAAGATCTTGATTAATGTCAATGTGTTGACCAGGTTGAATGCTTTCTCATCTGAACCTGTATTTTAGATTTTGATGTATTGTGTTGTTGATCATGATCTACGTGTCTGTTTTCAATTATTTTATATGCGTTCATTTTGAATAAAATGTAATATTTTTAACTGGTTAGGCATGACTCCGTAAAGTCCCCTGGACATCTTTCTTTTATTTACACTGTATTTTGGGACTGAGACATGCTTTGTCCACACATACCAGACCAAAACTTGTTATACAGCCTTCAGGAAGGTGCACGTCAGGCAGGTACACACAAACCGCCCTAAACACGTCCAAGGAGTGCAAGGCAACCCTCATAGGACGTTACAACTGTGGACATACGGAAGACAGGACATGCCCTCAGTCAGGTGAAAATACACCACCTTCGAAGGAAGGCAAGGGCCTGGACAGAAAATCACCTTATCCTTGTGCAAGACCAGATATGGAGATTTACAGAATAAGGCTGCCACCCAAATATCTCCAAGGGGAGGCTTCTGGAGCAATGAAGAACCAAATTAAAGCCCCACAGCATCAACAGGGAATGCCCAAGGGGCGCCACATGACGAACCCTTGGAAGAAAGTGCTGATCAAAAAATTCATGGCTAAGGAACGCTGAAAAACAATTTAACGGTACAAAACTTTACAACAGCAGGATGTCAAACACCCCATTGGAAGAAGGCCCAAAGAAAGAGCCTCACTGCAAGGAATGTTGGTAGACACTTGGAGCCTTGCACCAAACAATCTTAGCCTTCCAGGCGTGACAACATAGCTCTTGAGAGGTAGACCTGCATGCCTACAACATTGCGGGCATCACCAAACCCAACAAACTCCTGTTCCCCCAGGTTAGGCTGTCAGTAGCCATGCCGTTGTAGCCAGTAAAGCAGGGTGATGGATTGGACCCTGGGACAGGAAATAATCCAGAAATGGCAGCTGACAGGGAGCATCTGGCACAAGCTGCACCTGTCATCGAACCATGGGCACAAAACCAGCCTGGAACAACCAGAATGATCAGAATCTCTTTGGCTGCAAGCCTTTGCAGCAGGTGAGGAAGCAGCTTGAAAGGAGGAAATGCATGAGGCGATATTGATCCTGCGGTGCTATTACACATAGGTTGCATCCAGGAGTAGGGGCGCACCCCCTGATCCAATTACTAGCAACTGAGACAATCGACCTGCCAATTTCCAATACCTGGGATATCCAAAAAGACCAGACTGCTTCACTAGTGCTGCAGGTCTTGTGCCACCTTGGTGGATGACATAGGCTACTGCTGTTGCATCGGCCCCTGACCGGGAGCCCCAGGAGGAGATCCATCTAGTGCTCTAGAGACAGCCTGATTGCTCGCAGCCCCAGGACGTTGACTAGCAGCAGTGCCTCCTTCTGGGTTTGAGATCAGCACAAGATTGCTGGATTCTTAACACTTCCCCAGCTGGATAGGCTGGCGTCCATTGGTAACCCCATCCAGTGGAAGAAGACAAGACTTCTCGGCCTTCAAGGAGCAAGACCAGAGCGGGGAGGCCCATGTCAACCAGCCCAGTCCAGGGCAGTGGGAGTCTGTCCTCTTTCAACAGGATTCTCTGTTGCAGAACTCTCATAAGGAACTGCACAAATGGGTCCACCTCAGAGGTGTACACCATAAGTCTGCATGCAAGACCACAGGGAGAACTGCTGGTATGACAAGAGTAATAGACCCACAGTCCCAAGCTTTCAAAGCTTGTCCACCTGGAGAAACACTTCGGTCTGCTCTGAGACCAGAATCGGGCCCAGATACTTCAGGCTCCTGGTGGGGGTAAGGCAGACTTCTTGACGATCAGGACTTAGCCAATGTCCTGAAGGAAGTGCGTCGTCATCTTAGTAACACCCAGACTGGGGGTCAAGACCTTGAAGCATACCCGGGAGTAGAGGCCAGACCGAAAAGGAAACTCTACAAAATAGATAATGCGTGCCCCCCCAACTGCAAGGCGTAGGAACTGCAGATGTCCCACGAAGATGGAGCCATGTCCTTGATGTCTACAGATGCCAGAAAATCCCCTGATAAGGAAGGCCACCACCAAATGAATAGAATCCATCCAAACTTCAGGACCCTGGCAAGGCAATTCAGGGCCTTTGGGTCCATCATCGGTTGAACCCCATAGTTCCTTGGAAAGCATGTCCTGGCTCAAGCACTAGTACAGTCATTTCCTGAGGAAGCAGGTCCCGCCAGCTCCACACTAGGCGCAACGGTGGAAGTCAAACTTTGAGAGAGAAATTTCCCCAGTGGAATGAGAAGCTATTTTGTAGCTGGATGCGATCCATCTGTGGATTCACTTGTTATGAAAAAAAAAAAAGGGGGGTCCACTGGCTCAAAAACCTGATAACGATGACCCCCAATCTGGAAATGGGTGGGGACAAAGCCATCATGTTCAGGTGGATCCATCCGTGGTCAAATGGATTTGTGAGTCCAGGGGAGCCTGGCACCCCCCACACAGGTCCTTTAAAACCCTTATCAGAGGAGCCAGGAGAATGCAAAGTATCCTGTGAGCAGTAAAGGAAGGCCTGGGTCTTCAACGCAGTCCTAATATTTTCTTGGCTTGTGGGAAGATGGAATTACTGCAATCCATAAGGTTATCAATGTTGCTGTGCAATATAGCAATTTAGAGATTGTCACCCTGGAAAGGGAGGTCCCTCCAGGGCCTTGGCAGAACAACGTTTGAGACAAAGCACTGCCAAAGCACCACCACTGAGACCGAGATCTTGGCAAGGAGCAGGAAAGCATCCAAGGGTACATCACAAAAGCATGTCAGGCCCCGGACCATTCCAACCACCAGCTCCACATACACCTGAAACACCTGTCTGGCATTCAAACCTCATTACAGGATCTTAAATCGGTGAAGAAGTGCCTGAGACATCCTGACTGTGGCCAACACTGGCCACAATGCTGACCTTGCAACACTCAACATGGAGCGGACAACCAACCCTGTTTCGCAGTCAGCAAGATCTTTTTAATAGGGGGACTTCTCCACCGGTAGCATGGAAATTTTGCATATCCTCCAAATGGAGGGGATCACCACAGAAGGAGGCCACTTTTCCAGAAGGTCCCCTTCACAGGGAAAACCTACCACAAAGCACTTCAGAACAACAAAAGGGACAATTCGGATGTTCCCAATCTTGGTATATAAATTTAAGTGTGCAGGCTAAGGACAAAAACCTTAATGGACCTAGGTGGCATATGTGTACTAAAGGGACAAACACTCAGTTGGGGTCCTCAGTTTTTTGCATCTCTGGAAGTAATTAGTGCTGTAACCAGTGCTATCTAAGAAAACAGGATGAAACTTCAGGGTCTGCAAAAAACACAGGGACTCAGGCTCAGAAATGTCTGACGACAAAGGAGATGGTGTGGGGGGGTTCTTGCTTGCCTGGCACCTGAAGGCTGCCTCCACCCAGTAGACGAAAGACTGCAGGAACACCAGGCACATGTCTGGGGGTACAGAACAGCCCCGAGGAATCTGCCACCTTCAAATTAGTATTGGGGGGAACTTGCACCGAAGGCCCCATAACGGAAACCAAACCAGGCGAGGCACCACAACAAGACAGGACTCCTAAGGGAAGAAAACCACCCCAGACTGATTGGTAACAAAAAGGGAGAGAGAGGCCCCCCACACCAGAAGGGTCACCATGCAGAGCCATGAATGCTGCCTGCGGATGCCATACCGCATGGAGTGCTACCTATGGATGCTGACCTGGATGCGACTGATTAGTGTGCCTACCAGAGAGAACATCCCAGAAGACTGCCCAAGTACCCAGCCTGAGAGTTTGAGAGTCTGGGGCAGCTACAGGAAAATGGCCGCCATGCAATTCCCCAGCCAGCTCCTATGCATATCTATGGGAAGGTACACTGCAAAGTGGGCCACCCATCTACTTCCAACAAAGTGGCTGCCAACATCACCATCAAAATGGCCAGCGCAGCTCCAAAGCATGGCTGCTGGCCAACCAGGAACACATGGCGGATGCGCAGGACTTCCCAGACCCAATAGGGAAACACAGAGCCCCACCAGCACAGCACACAAGCCCCTAACTCGGGGACCCAGGCTGAAGAGATGCTCAAGCGGCACGTAAGAGGGGGAGAAGCTCAGGTAAAGGCGGCAGAGGGGATACCAGCAGCTGGGAGGCAGGAGGGGACCTCACAGGACTGACCACCATATGGAGTACCCAGGCTCCACACCACATCTAGGGAGGGAAGGGGCATCTACTTAACAGTCCAGCAGAGCGTGCGGGTAAGGCTCCGATGACAGGTGCTCCTTTCCACTGAAGTAGGGGCTGTCGGCCAGGGTAACACTGTGACACAGACTGAAAGTGTCTGGTCATATGTATCCCTGTGAAACGTAACTTGCTGTCCACCCCAGTCCAGGACGGAGGTTATCGCAACCGACCCAGCACTTTGCTAAAAGGTCTGTGTGTGCTCATTAGCCAGACTCTGGTGACCTCTGGATCTAGATTATCCAGCTCATCACCCATTTGTTGATAGAAGATCTCTGTAGAAGAAAACCTTGAAAATAGGGGGGGAAAAGCTTGTGGAACCATAGGTCCCAGCTGGTAGCTAGGTCCTTGCACCTGAACACTAGGCAGAATAAGTGGCTTGCATATACTGTAGCAGAGAGGGGGGGTTTGTACCCGAAGGGCTGCCCATCAGAGGTGCCGAGTTTTCCTGCCTAGTGTCCTACTCCTGTAGGTGGCACTATAAAATCCTGTTTCTTCAAGATTAAGAAGAGAGGCTGTGTCTGTCAATGAACGTAATAGAAAAGGGTTTTTTGTTTTTGATTTTTGCCTGAAGTTCTGATTTATTGGTCTTGTTGATGTATCTGTGGGACATTCCTTTGCTGCTTCAGCTAACCAGAAACATATTCATTATTTCTGTTCACAGTATATTTAGTTTTCTGGCATCACTAACAGAATGTGTTTGCTTTAGGCCTGTTATAGGTCCTGCCCTACCTCCTGGCTTCAAAAGACAGGATTCAGATATTGAAGATGAGTCTCATTCTAAAGCATCTGCAGACACCAAGCATAAGGTAAGAATGCAGGAGTAACCATAAACATACTAGTATATTGTTTTGCGACTATGGGGAATATGACTTCTGTACTCATCAGTTTTCTATTTTAGACTAAATATATCTTGTTCAAAGTATATTTATAAAGTGACTAAATTAAAAAGGCATTTATCCGTTTCAATGAAGTTTGATACAGTACTCCTCACACAGCTGTTATTTACAGCATCATTTATCAGTAGCAAATGTTGAATGAGGGGGGGGGGGGGGGGGGGGGGGTGGTAGTTCTTAAAATTCTTGATAAAAGAACAACTGAGCTTCAAGGATTTTTTTTCGGGGGGTGGTTTGTTTGTTTTTTTGTTTTTTTTATTAAAAACGGCATTACACATTGATTTCATTTGCATTGAGGTGATTGTACAGGGTTTTTTTTTCTTTTTAATAACAAATGTGTTATACTTACCTGCTCTCCGCAATGCACAGAGAAACATTGAGAAACTGTGTGTGAGAGCAAGTAAGCGTGGAACAATAAAGTGCGGAAAAGAAGTTGCGAAACTCCCCTGCCACTAAGTTTGGGTCAGTGATATGGGTACCAGGCTTCGCACAGGGAAATCACAGTAGGGGACCTAAGATCCAGATGTGGCAAGTATGCCAATAAACGACCAGCTCATTCCCCATATTCAAATATTCTCTGTCTACTGAAAAAGATGTTTTGTTTGGCTTTTTCAAAAAGCAGGTGATTAACCAGGCGAGCCTGTATTTTCACTAATCAAGCGGCCTCAGTTGAGGGGTTTGCCTGAAAAGAGTGTTTTAAGTCTAGCAATCGTTCCTCCGCCTGTTGCATAACCAGTCTGGTTACCTACCTGTCCCCCTCTTTATTTCCACTGTCTGTATTGGTTTTATCTTGGTTCAATAAAGTGGATTGTTTGGAGTGCAGCTGATTGGACGTCCTTTTTGTACTCATCTTTGCAGCACACGAGCTGAGCTACCACCTACAGGAGGAGTTGTGCTTGGTGATTGGGAGTCTCTCTACCTTGACCAGCGGTAAACATACAGTCTTGATGTAGCCTTCTACCTAGAGATGCAGGATGCCAAAATGCTGCGGGCATGCGATTTAAAGGAGTCCCATACTATTCCGTAATTAGCTGGCCCCTCGTTATTGGTAAAGAAGTAGGCCCAATCAGCCTGCACGCCCTCCAAATTAGGAAGAACAGTCAACCAAAAGGAGTTCAGTTTCCACATATACATAGATGGGGAAGAGGATTTTCGAAGTGTCAGCCAATATGGGGAGTGGTCAGATAACACCCTAGGGGCAAAACCCACCTCCTCCAAATTAGGTAAATGATTTGGATATAAATATAAAATCTATGCGGGACATAGTAGAGTGGGAAGCGGAAAAGCAGGAGTAATTTTTTTAGTCATGGAGTGCAGGTATCTCTAGGTGTCAACCAGTGCAAATTCTGTCAACAGTTTACAAAATCTAGTAATTTGAGATGAGGTATGAGCAGGGGGGTTGTAGTCCAATCTATCAAGACTGGGGTCTATAATCGTATTGCTTACTATGTAAACATGACTATGCCGATACGACATTTACTGAAGGTAAATACGCTTTTCCGTTTCCCACAGCAAGGTCTTAATTGTTTTAATTAGCTGAAATTTGGTGTCTCACCTCTATTTCTTCTTAGTAAATCAACCCCCATGAGTCTACAATATTGAACTTTTTCACAATATTCTCATTTTCTGAGATACTGAATTTTGGGTGTTCACTAGATGTAAGCCATAATCATCTAAATTAAAAGAAAGAAATGCTTGCAATGTATAACTCTGTTTAATGAATCTAAAAGTTTCACTTTTTTAATTGAATTAATTTAAATTAATTTTATGATATTCTAATTGATTCAGATCAACCTGTATAACTTTCACACAAACCAATTAATATACACTTATTGGGATTGGGATTTTACCATAGACATGTAGAAAACTACATTTTGGCCTAAATTTATAACAAATCTGAGTTTATTGGATATTTTTATAACAGAAAATAGACTTTTTTTTTTTTAATTTTTTGTCTTTTTTGTTTTAAAGCCCCCCAAAAAAAACCCAGAGGTGATCAAATACCACCAATGGAAGCTCTATTTGTGGGGAAAAAATTTACAAATGTAATTGATGTACAGCATTGCATGACCGCTCAGTTGTCAGTTAAACTTATAGCGTAAATTCCAGTATCTATACTATCGTTTTGTAGATGCTATAGCTTTCACACAAACCAATTAATCACTTATTGGGATTTTTTTTTTTACCGAAGACGTGGCAGAATACATTTTGGCCTAAATTGATGACGAAATTTGAGTTTATTGGATATTTTTTTATAACCAGAATTAGAAAATATTGTGTTTTTTCCACAATTTTCGGTCTTTTGTTTATAGCGTAAAAAATTAAAAACCCAGAGGTGATCAAATAACACCCAAAGAAATCTTTATTTGTGTGGAAAAAAGGACACAAATTTCATTTGGGTACAGCATTGCATGAATTCACAATCACCAGTTGAAATAGCGCAGCGCCGAATAGCAAAAAATGGCCTGGTCAGGAAAGGGGGTACATTTTCCAGAGAGCAAGTGGTTAATGAGTTTTACTGGCTCGTAGACTAATATTGTTTAAAACTCTCCTCTCTTGAAAATTGAAGCAGTGCATCCTGTGTTTGTACTGAATTCTCCTCTAAATACTCCTCTACATGGAAACATGACATTGGTGATGAACATTACCTTGATTCTTGGGTTCACACAAATAAATTATGACTTTGAGTCTCCAGTGCTGTCTAAGCAAACTATGTAACAATGTGCATTTATAATTTTTTCCGTTAAACAGTAACTTTTGTTAAGGTTAGCACAGAAAAAGGATCACAATAGGTACTTAAGGTACGTAAGGTACAAGGCCGTAATTATAGGTGCAGTTAGAAAAAAAATGGGGTCTTATTTTCCCCCACGATACAAAGCATACCAGAGCATAATGGATAAAAAAAAAAACTGGTATCACCATTTAGGTATAGCTCCTCATTCACACTGGAAGTTTTTACAGCTGCTGTTTTTTGGCTTTTGGCGGGTTTTTTTTTCTACAGCCAGTAAACTCCCCAGCATGTTATCCTTTGTGTCCATGCACACATAGACTGTAATCAACGTATTTCACTAGTGCAGCTTGCCAATCCTTAAATGTGATGGCTGTGTGACGGCCGTGGTGCCCGACCCCTGCCCTTCTCACCAACTCGTGACAAAGGAGTGGTCAATCTCACACCGCGCTGTCATTTGCCTAACAGTGCCACTCTCAGCTGCACCCTGCACAAAGATGTTCCAGCGATTTGTCACTAGGTTAAGTTAGTTAAGCAATTAACCCTTTAAACTACCACCACCACTTTACGGAGAAGGAGGAAACTCTTAATCTCAGCAATAAAAACTGTGATTTTAGAATAATTGTCTGTAACACACACTGTCACCACAGACAGGTATGTTCAGAGATTACGGCTACATTCATACTGAGCTGAGTGTTTTTCAGGCATTTATTCAAGTGTTTTTTTAAGGTGTTTTTGAAAATTTGGGGTTTTTTTTTTCGCAGATTTGCAAATATAGGTGTGTTTTTCATTTAAACGGTTTTGTGGCCAATAGAAATAGCTTCTGTTTTGAGCTGAAAACACCTGAAAAACGCTTAATTCCACTGTTCAGGCATTTTCCATTCAAGTCTATGAGGACAAATGCTCAGATCTGCCTGAGAAGTAGTGACAGTACTTTTTTGAGCTACATGCGACAGAACACTTAAGTGTGAACAGGGGCCATTGAAAATAATGGGATTTTACTTGTTAATTGTTTTTTAACCTTGAGCTGAAAAAGTGTGAACGGGGTTTTAGGTTGCATTCACACTTAAGCATTTCATATCGCGGGCAGAGTCTCTGCGATTCTGCCCGCAACTTGAAAACACGCTGTTAAAATGTGAAAATGCACCTAACATGTTCAGGTGCCATTCATTTCAATGGCATCTGACAGTGTGTGGCATTTTTGCCAAGTTTCTGGAACCTTTATTGGGCAACCCGCGATTTTGTTTGCGCAATCGCGGCGCATTTGTCACGCAGAAAAAGCGCCACAATTGCAGGAAAAAATGTCCTGTGTTTTTCAGGTGCCACTGAAATGAATGACACGTGAATATGCTAATGCGCGTTTTCAAATTGCGGTCAGAATCCCTGCGATTTCGCCTTCCACTTGAAACACCTATGTGTGAATGGAGACTTACATTACAGTGGTACTTTTTAAAAGAAAGGGTTTCTTTTAGTTTGTATTAAAAGCCTTAGCAACAATGTCAACACTTTTCAAAATAGGGTTTAATATTGAAAAAGGTCAAAATGGTGCAAATAAAATTTACAGAAAAAGGGTGTTACAAAGAAAGAAAAGCGACAATAATGCAACAGAGAACTAAAAAGTAGTTGAAAATGAAGAATACTTAATGTCCTGGGTTGCAGAGTCCAGTGAATAAGCAAAAACAATACAGTGGCTCTCAAGTCCAGTTAGATGTTCCTTGGTTTGATGTTAAAATGAGAGCTGTCAAATTTTGGGGCAGTCAGTCTTTTTCTGAGATCTTAAGGGGGTGTGTTGTCAGAGGCCATCTGACTAACCATTTAGTTTAAGGGGTGGTTGCTGGGAGGTCACCACTTTTATGACCAAGATCCAGATCGTTTTCTAATTTTTTTTTTTATTTTTTTTTACTATCTCTATTATCTATTGTTTACAGACTGTTGACATGCCTATTATTGTCCAGTGTGGAATTTGCTTTGGAATGAATATAAATATGGCAGGTTTCAGATGTCTACTTTACCTAGGAGGGATAAGGGGTGCCAGTGGTTCCCCATATGGTCTGACATAGGGGTGTTTGGACTTGAAACATTACCAGTTAAGTGAAGAAAGTTAATGTCTATTTTCTGGTTGTGCTATTATTATTTGAGTTATGAAATATGCTGAAGTTTTAGAGTCTTGGCTGTTAACCAGTCT